TTAATTGAGACTATACGAATGTAATTTATTAATAATTATTTTAAAGTTTAACTTAAATTTGATTTAAAATTTATGAGTTATTCTGATTATGATCATTGTACATTTTAAATTTAAAAAAATATTTTGTACTATATAAATAATAAAAAATATATGTATAACCCTTCAGTGACAAAGTGTCAAATATGCTAAATAATGCTAAATACATACTTAACTGAAAAATTTATATTATTTTGATAATCACTTTAAAAACACCTTATTAAAAATGAAACATTACACTAAAAACTAAGTTTATAGCAATAAACTTATTAATTGTAAATAGTATTAGTATATTTGCAGTTGCAATAGAGATCCCAATGAATAATAACAATAGTAAAAAGGCAATTATTAATCGAAGTGAAGTCATCAAGAAAATTATATTCATTTTCTTTTAATATTAAAATAGTTTGATTATCATTTCCGCCAAAACTATTTTCTTTATAAATTAATGTTTGATATAGCTTTTAAATTAAAAGTTTTAATTATACATAAATAGAGTAAAACATAATTGTGAATCATTACAATCTCATTTTAATAAATAATTTTATAAATCACATACAAAAAAGAATTCATATTTATATAAAAAAATGTATTTCAAGCCATTTTAAAAATAATATTCTTTACATAATATCATACAAAGCTTGATTTTAATATTATATTATTGAATTTTTCAATTAAATGCTGCATAAAAATAATTATGCCACTACATAATTAAACCTAAGTCCAAGATTATATTATTTGACAAAGGAAATACAAGATAACTAATACTTTTTAAATATAAAACCAATTATACAAACATTATACTTGAAAGCATTAAAATTATTTTAAACAAGATCATTTTGGTATGACATTTATAATGTATTTGGTGTTTGTCATGTTTTTTATGCCTTTGTCTGAACTAAACCACCAGTACACGACTATAAAAATAATCTAATAATAAAATACCTGTAATTCAAGTCGTTCAAGGGTTTCGTTTTAGCTTATACATTTTACATTTAGTTAATTTATAATTTAATTTAAATTTTACTCAGTATATTTTAGATTCTGAGTGGAACGACGAATGTATTGATTTTACAATGATGTGTGTCATTCGTTTATGTGTTTGCATTAAATACTTTTTATACAACAGAAAAATATTTAGATTTTCAACTGAGAGTGGTTTCTACTTTCTAGTAGAAAACTGAATTTAGTTTGTACTTAAAAAGTAAAAAATTCCCATTAATATTTAAAATAATAGGTACGCAAGTAAGTACCATGCTGCTTTATATTAGGTGTCGATTGTGTTACTACTGTCACTATTATGAGTGTGTTAAATTTGAATTCAATAATATATCATTGTATATAAAAAACATTTTGAGCGAAGATGGCCCTATCAGCCTTATCACTAAGTATATTTTATGATATGTTTTTAATATAGATATTAAAGTCAATAATTATTATAGTATTAGTATATAGAAAATTGATATCATTTTTCCTAAAAATATTGCATTTACTGTATTATTGGTATTTAATTAGTATAATAATGCTATATATAAATGCATACTTAATTATATTAAATTAATATAATTCAAAATATAATAAGATCTTTCAACAAATATTATAATTGAAATTGAGCAATGTAAAAGTTGTAAATTTAAAACTCAAAATTTCCCATACTGGAATAGTAAGAAAATACTCGAGCAATATACATTCTGTACAAAACACTTTGGTCAGTATAATTTGAATCTAATTAATATCAACAAAGAAACATACAAATTGTTAATAATACATATCACAGTATTAAATTGAAATAATTTTACTAATTGAAAAATATTGAGGTATGGACTATCGGACTATCTATTCTATATTTTAGTACTAACAAAATTAAGAGTTTTTCAATAGTAATTTACCTTCTTAAAATTAATATTTCACTAAGAAATCTAAAAACTATAATATTTTCGATACATAAAAGTAGTTTGGGATTTCCCGTATTTTAAAAATAATCAATAAAACGAACAAAAATGTTAAGAAATTTTTGATAAAAAAAATTTTGTTTTTTTATGTAATTCCATTACAAATAATCATAGATTGGTATTTGAAACTTTCATCAAATATTTATGTAAACATATTCTGCACATCATAGTATAATTCAGTGGTTCTTAACCTTTTTATTATGGCGATGATACAATAAAAAAAAATTAAATTGTTCAATATAATAAAATAAACCATAAAACCATTAACTTTTCCTGTCCTGTTTATCAATTATACTAGAACGTTACATTTTGTTAAAAATGATTCGTTCTACCAAAATTATAATCAATTTTGAATGCCTGTAAAGAGAATGTTCGAGTTATTGCTGAATGCCAATATCATAAATATGTCTATAATTTAAAAAAAATATTTAGTTTAAATAAATATAACTAAAACTATGTCAATATACCATACGATAACCAACAATAACCAATAACCATGAAATATTTAAAATATTTGTAGTTATTGGGTAATTACTTAACTAAATTAATAACGAATAATAATAATTTTAAGTCGGCACCTATACGGTATTCGCGTGTATAGTTTGCATACAACATAGGTATAAGAATAAAGTTTAATATATTTATATTCTATATAATATGTACTGTAAATTGGGTATACGTGTGTCCGAGACATTAGTTGTTAGAGTATATTCTAAATATACAGTACCTATATATAGTATATACATATACTAACTGTTAATATAATAATATACAGTTTTAAAAAAGTGCGCAGGTACATTATACATATGTATAAATAATTTTATACTATATTCGTATCATTATAATAATTCATTGTATACAATATGGTTATGAAATTTCAACCATGTTACAGACCTCAGTACTATATATTACGTTCAGACGTAAAGCCTATACAGAGCAGGGTTTGGGGCCATTACCTCCTTCGAAATATCGTATAAAATCATTGTTTACTTATATAATAACGATACTATAACTTTAGTAGGTAGTCTTAAATAGATTTTATTTATAAGCTCAATTGATACATGCGAACGATATTTTGACCGTGTACTATATAATATACTATAGGTACTATATTATAGTCTATAGCAGTAAACAAGAATGGTAGTACATTCCTAGACCCTAGTTTATTACTGTTGATAGTTGTATTATTTGTATTACAATTGTAAATTACCCTAAATAATTATAAATAAACACTATTTATTATTTGAGAAAATGAGGGATAAGTTAAAATATATTCACCCTTCGCCTCTTTAATTGCCATAATTAAACTTAAAATAATTATAATTGGACATTTTTAAATATAAAATAAATCTACAAATATCAAATACTTATACAGACGTTTTAAATTTATTCATATGATTTAAATGTTTGAATGAATTTTAAAAATTGTAGATTGTAGTCATTCATAGTTCATTAGTATACTCCATATAATTTGTACGATTATTATAGGTTTTTGGTTCTCGGTATAAACTACATCGATAATACTCATCGATATTATTAGATAAGTTACAACTGAATTACAGAATTGATCTTCTGATGGGTTACTAAGTAATGTAACTGCATATACTCTTAAAAGAGGTGGGTGTAAATAGTTAATGTCACATCAAAATTTTAAATAAATACTAAAATAATTAATTTTTGTTGACTTATTTATATGAATGGAAATTTTGTTGAGAGTAGCAAGAACATTTTTTTACTTATAAAAAATAAATGGATGGGTGGTAATACTTTTGTTAATTGCATATGTTCTTAAAATAGGTACTACGTACAATACTTTATTGTGTATTTATATATAAATATAATTATGTAAATACAAACAATTATTAATAGTTATAGATACATAATTTAAAAAAAAATAGAATGTATGTATAGAATTTTTAGAAACAATATTGACTTGTACAATATGTATAAATAAACAAGTTAAAGAATATCTTTGTTGTATATCTAAATACCTAGTAAGTATAAGATTTATTCTATGAAAAAATGGGTAATACCATTGAGTATATTATATAGTACTATATATACTCAATGGTAATACCTATAATGTTCAAACTTAAGTGATTGTAACGCGTAACGCGGTATATCAAAAAAAATTCTAAGCATCTAACAACTGTACCTACTTATATTTCACATAAACATTTTCCTTGTTTTACATACGCACACATTCATTATGTTTATGAAATATGTACAGTTATCAGTTAAATATTATAATTAGTTATCAATTAGATATAACATAATATCTTTCCAGATAATATTTATCGAATTTTACGAAAAAAAAATTAAAAGTTTTAAAAAGTTTGAAATGTTTGAACATCGAAAAACCAGCGTATTTATTATATACGCCTGAAAATCAAACTACAAGATTACAATAGTCAATAGTACATTATAATAAATATAATGTATTATAATATATATATATAACATATTATATTACATTATAATATATATAACCATAATAATATATCTGCTTTCGTTTAAATATGATTAAAATTAATAGCGTATAACTGCATGTGAAACATTAAATAATCTACGGATATTGTTGAGGGGGATATTATTATTATATAATATCATTATATCAAACTGGAGTGATCTATACAAGAGTGAGAGGGTAAGAATGATGGCACCCCGGGACTTTGCAAGGATGATTATGACACTTCCCTTATACGATATACAGTACTTTATATTATTATTATTACAGTATGTATTATTAGAATATTCCAAATTTCACAGAAATTAAAATTTTTCTATAGGTACATACATTTAAATTAAAAAAAAAAAAAAAATTAATCAATTTTTATTATACTCTTTATGTAAAGCATAATATTGTATTAATTGTAGACAGACTGTAAGTCATAGATGTATAAAAAAAAATTATTAATATATTATATTATTATGATGGCATCCTTAAGAAATTCTAGTCGTGCCACTGCAGTCGCCAAAAATATATTATTATGAAATGAAGGCGCGGCTTACCTTGCAGGGAGGCGTGAGAAAAGTGCCGCTCAAGCTGGTAACTGGCGCTCGTTGTCCGGTCTCGGTCAGACAGCCGTCTGATTTGGAGTCTGGACACGAGGACGCCGGGGCTGCTTGGCGATCGGTCGCGGGTCCATCACCGCGATGACACCTCTTCTGTTGCAGGTCAGGCACGGATGCGGTCTTCTCCAATTGCTGTAGTTGAACAACGGCCCGATATGCATTCGGGGACGACGGCGTTGACCTGCAGGCCATCGCAGCGGGCGGTACGAGCCCGTCTAGAGCGGCCAACCGGTCACACATCGCGCGCGCAACCGGCAGCCGCAGCAATGAGTCACGAGCGAACGAGTAAGTCAGTAAGCGACAAGCGGGGGACAGGCACACAGCCACGGAGCACAGCGGCGATCCCTGCGCGCCACCGACAACTTTGACAGTGTGACCACGATCGTTACACGATATAGGTATACATGTTTAATCGCATCGTTACAATATAATAACGCACGAGTAAACACGATAATTTACCCTATCCCCCGCCACGACGGCACATTTTCGACGTTTTTCCGACTGAAATTGGTAGTACGCGAGTACTAAAACTGTTTTTAGATAGGTACTCAGCAAACTGAAATCGTATTAAACACGAATCACTGCCCATCCGGTTAGTTGGGTGGTTCTGTCGATCTATTGGTAGTAGGTCACACTGCGGTCCACGGCTCCTCCCTCGATTCGATCCCGCGCCTGTTTGACGACGACCAGACGTAACGACTAACGAGTCGTTTTCAACCCCCTTATTGCGTGAGGTCGACCCTTATATTGTACAGCTGGTTATGCATGCGAGGTTTCGCAATATACACGTGATTTATTCTCTGTAGAGAGCAACTTTATGATGATGTGCTAATATATAAGGTTCACTGTAGGCTGTATCGCCAAAATAACTTACTATACCCAACTAAATTATTATAGGGAAATGTTATTTACATGCTAGCCGATATGCTGGTATTAAATATTTACATACCGGGGTCAAACCAATTTTATTTAGAGACCTGTTTTAAGATATTATATTCTATGTTTAGTAATATGTTTTTTATTATAAAATAGAATTTGATTTTTATGGGTAAGTTATTTCTGGTCTTAAGTATTTATGCGTCTATAATGACCTCATATAAATATATAATATCCTATGTGTGATTAGTTATTATAATAATATTTTATTAAACAAACTTTCTGGCGAATGTATATATTATGATATTATAATGCATGCAATATGTATTATGTAACACTACATAAAATATATCTGCGGTACATGAATATTATTATAATATAATATGTAGAATGAAAATATGTCGAGAGTAATGAGTAATGACTAATGTTATAATAAATATTTAAAAATATAAGAATACATAATGACAGTTACTGTACTAAGTGTACTAAAATGAAGATGTTTGTTTAGATTATTTTTTTTTTCCGTTTCGTTTCTATAGTTGTGATGGCAATAGGTATATAATATATCATATACCGAGTACTCCAGAAGATCACTGCGGTAATGTTGATAATAATAGCCTACGCGCACGTAATAAATTATGAATTTCGTAATTAAAAATTAAACAGAGCGGTCGCTTGTTGCGTGCACATTGCCTATTAAAATATTGAGGGTAAACAATGGTGACTGTCCAGCAAACACAGTCTTTCCGCACCGGTGCACTTAGTCATAATTCATAATTGTTTGAACGAACGTTACAGTATTAACACAATAACACGCAAAATATAGCTACTTTGAAAAAGTAATACAATCTTAAAAAGCGTATGTATATAAATTGGAAATTTGGAAATATATAATTACGTTCATCTATTAGTGGGAAAAAAAAATGTTCATGTTTGATTGTAATTTTTAAGTAAATAGACAGGTGAACTATTGCATATTAAAATTTAAAATTCAAAAAATACTTTTTTTGTGTTCGGAATCTATTAAATCATAGTATCATACTAATATAACGATGGATGAGGAACAAACATATAGGTATAGCTGGTTATGGATTATTATAATTTAAAACCATATCGATATTTCTCACTTTAAATAATATTACTATTATCTACATATAATACATAACATATTTTAAAATAAATACCACCAATATTATATATACAGTGAAACCTCTATTAATGGACACCTCTCAATAGTGGACTTTTTCTAATTATGGAAACTATTAAAGTCCCCGGCAAAAATGTATGCACATAACAGAAGTTATACTTAATCTCTTAATAGTGGACGTGTACACTAAAACCTTTTACCAAAATTACAAATTACCTCTTATAAATGGACACAAATACACAATATATGTACACATCGAAAATGTGTAAGTAATAAAAATACTATATTTATCTTTTATACATTTCGGTCATATTTTATATTATCTTAAAGGTTTTCCTATTCGAAATATGACAAATGGTTCGGTTATATGTTCGGTCATCAGTTGTGTGCTACACATTGTATGAATGCATACCTCCGTTAAAAATTTTATAAACATTTTTATACCCACTTTTTATTACATACATATTATATATAAACAATAAATTAATGTTTTAATACATACCAATTTCAATATGTATATACTTTATGTGTGTGTGTGTGTAACCAATTCTCTATAGTCTATATCGTCTCCCTATAGTGGACATTTAGTAATTTCTCGCAGATGTCACTATTTAGTTGTTTTCTAAATAGTAGACAATAACTCCCTATAGTGAACTTTCCCATGGCTGTCCACTATGTAGAGGTATAACTGTATATATATTACTATTACAACACACACAATAAAACTTAATACAAGATCCCGCATAAGTTGATTTTATAGTTTTACATAAAACATTAAAAATTTATAGACATAATTTTTTTTAAATTTAAAAGTATACGTATATCAAATAATTATATGATATTTAAACGAAGAATAATAATTTTTAGCAATGGAAAAATTATCTGGTAGAAAAATATAGTATATGCAAACATTTAACAAATGAAATTATTGTTAAAGAATTTCTAAAATAATCATTCTTAATGTTAAAAAACTTAGAAAGTTCTGACTTTAAAATAACTAATATTTAATAAAAGTATTTTTTTTTTTTTTTTACTTAACTAACATATACAATTTTAATAACATGTATTAGCATACATTTAAATTATTTATTTAGTAATATTTTATTTTTTTTAAATTTTTTTATTGATCTTATTTAAGCCCGGCAACTAAGGCCATCAGCTATGCATAGGAAAATATTTTATTATTTATTTTTATACGAGTATTGCAATTAAAATTAGGTAATATTATTAAAACTTACCAAATTTTTAAAGTGGTACAATCGATGTCAAATTTTTCCTGTTTACCTTTATAATTATTATTTTAAAAACATTTATAAGTCTGCATGATTATTTTACAAATTATTGCATAGGTATATGAAAAAGTGAAAACTATTCTTAAAATATAGGAAGTTACATACCACACATGCACATTTATTGTCTTTGTATATCCAATACAAACGATAATTAAAAATACTCTCGTCAGTGATGCCAAAGAAATTTTTTTAGACGAAAAATAGGAACCAGTTAATGAAATAAAAAATATACAGTACAATAGCAGAGCTTGGTTTAATAAGTATAATTTCAGGAATGAGGAAAGTACAATCAAAGTTCCTTTTTTAATACTAAATAAAACATCCAAAACTCTACTGTTTGAGGGATATGGTATATAATTATTTACAAGTAACCGTGGTATGATAATGATAACATCTAGAAATTCCATACTTTACCAGGTTATCAGAATAGTTGACAAAATTCTAATATTGTAATTATTTTTTAAAGAGGGTTATGTAAAAAAAAAATTTCCCTCCACCTCCGTTAATCAATTGTTTTAGAGAACGTCAACGTAAAATTTGTTTTCTCTCTAAAACCCATGCACAATATAAATAAAACGAACTCATACAAAATAGCTATTAATGATTTTTAAGGAATCTTATAGTAAAATCATATATTACAAAAATTATAGATGATAATTTTATTTTTTTGTGGGTTTGACATAATATCAGTTTCATCTTCTATTATTATTTTGTTTTATATTCAACTATAAAATTTTTTTTAAGAAATTTAAATGATTATTAAATTGTCAAAAATCAATATATTATTATATCTTTAAAAATATAATTTTTGTAATGTATTATTTTAGTCTTAGAATATTGAAGAAGAAAAAATAATGATTTTGTACCTTTTAATAACAATAATTATTAAACATGCTCTTAAAAACAATGTTGAGCCATTTAGAAAGATATTCTCATAACTAAACTTCTCTTGCATTTTTCCAAATAATAAAAGCTTATATGTTTTAAACTTAGAAAACTCATTTTATCACAAACTCATTTAAATTATTAAGCTTAAGAGAAAAAAATAAAATCCATTTGAAAATCAAAATTAATTTTTAACTTTCACTTTCTACTTCAGTGGGTTACAGGTCATGTTAATATGTTAGAACAAGGGTCAATACAACATTCAAACAACTTCCATTCACTCTCTCCAAATTTTAATGTAGTTAAAATGCAAATCTGGGCAACAACTAGTTAAAAAGTTAAAATTTATTGTTTTTATAGCTTTTAATTTAACTAGTTAAAAAAAAAAAATCTAACTTAATTATATTGTTAAAATTAAGTTATTTGTAAAATGTAATTTACAATTTTTTTAATTTATTAACTGTATATTTTTTGCATTCATTAATGGTAATTTTTTTTATCACGTTTTAAAATTGTATAATATTGTAATTGTAAATACTATAGTTCAAATACAGCAATGCAAATATTATTGTTGAAGTCACCTTGACCATTTAGACAAATCCCATCAGTTAATTAATATAGTAGTAATAAAATTGAACATTATTATAATTTACCAAAACCAGTCATTTTTCTTTTGATGAGATAAAAATGTATGTGAGTACATTTGAAAATATTAAAAAAAAAAGTAACTTAAATTTTAACAGAATAAAATTAATTTTCTGAAAATTTGTAACTCATTTACTAATATTAATTTAGCTTAATATTATTCTATTTTTTTAGAATAACTTATTTTAAACTAATTAAACAAAAATAGATATCTTGCCTAGCTTGGATAAAATATTGCATCAATAGCATACCAATAATATCAGTGTATTTTAAAATTAAATGAAATAAACAAAACAAATTTCATGTATTTATATAATATTTTATAAAATCCTTAAAACAAATCTTTAAGTATTTTTAACATAAAATTCTACTTAATTTTATATTTTGTATTCTTACCAATTAATCAACTATTTTTAATAGAATTTTACCACTGCTTTTGTCAGTTGAAAAATGTTCTAATGCTTCATTTACTTGATCAAGTTTTAATGTTTCTGATATATTTGGAGTAATCACGCCCATTTTACACAT